CCCTAATCACCACATGAACACATGGAGATTAAACAACAACTCCTTAATGATGAATGGATCAAAAGAGAAATTAAGAAAGCAATAAAAGTATTCCTGGAATTAAATGAAAAGGACGATACAACATGACAAAACCTCTGGGATACGCTGAAAGCAGTCCTTAGAGGGAAATTTATAGCTCTAAGTGCCTACATCAAAAAATCAGAAAGAACACAAATAAATGCCTTAACATTGCAACTCAACACACTTGAAAAGCAACAGCAAATGAAACCCAAACCCAGCAGACAAGAAGAAATAACAAAAATCAGGGCAGAAATTAATGAAATTGAAACAAAGGGAACAATACAAAGAATTAACAATTGCAAGAGCTGGTTCTTTGAAAAGATAAACAAGATTGAAAGACCACTAGCTCAGTTAACCAAAAGAAAGAAAGAGCACCTCCAAATCAACAGAATCAGTGATGAAAGGGGAAACATCACAACAGACACCAGGAAGATACAGAACATTATAAAGGAATACTTTAAAAACCTATCTGCACCTAAATTTGAAAACCTAAAAGAAATGGACAGATATCTAAAGGCATGGGAACCACCAAAACTAAACCAAGAAGAGATTAACAGCTTAAACAGAAACAAAAAGAAATTGAAACAGTAATACAAAATCTCCAGACTAAAAACAGCCCAGGACCAGATGAATTTACAGCAGTTTTCTATCAGACATTTAAAGAAGATCTGCATCCAATACTACTTAATTTATTCAAAAAAATAGAAATGGAGGGAGAACTTCCAAATTCTTTCTATGAAGCCAGCAACACTCTAATACCAAAGCCAGGTAAAGATACAACCAAAAAAAGAAAACTATAGACCCATATCCTTAATGAATATAGATGCAAAAGTTCTCAACAGCATAATTGCAAACCTCATACAGACACACATCAGGAATATCATCCACCATGATCAAGTCAGCTTTATCCCAGAGATACAGGGATGGTTCAATATACGTAAGTCAATAAATGTCATAAATCATATAAATGCACCCAAAGACAAGAATCATATGGTCATCTCAATAGATGCAGAAAAGGCCTTTGAAAAAAATTCAACATGCATTTATGTTCAAAGTCCTAAAGGGAATTAGACTGGAACGAACATACCTCAACATAATTAAAGCCATATATAACAAACCCACAGCCAACATCATTCCCAATGGAGAAAAACTGGAAGCATTCCCATTGAAAGCAGGAACCACACAAGGCTGACAACTATCCCCACTTCTTTTAACATAGTGCTTGAAACTCTTGAAAGAGCAATAAGACAAGAGCAGGAAATTAAAGGAGTAATAATTGGAAAAGAATAGATCAAAGTATCCCTTTTTGCAGATGATATGATATTATATCAAAGAGACGCCAAAAATTCCACCTGAAAACTAGAAATTATTGACACATTCAGTAAAGTGGCAGGTTATTAATAACAAGCAATGAGAGAAAGAGCACATGGAAACACTCCCCTTCACAATAGCTGCAAAAAAAAAGTTATCTCTGAATAAATCTTACCAAAGAAATTCAAGAGCTCTACATTGAAAATTTTAAATCTTTAAAGAAAAATTTGATGAAACCATCAGAAGATGGAAGGACCTACCATGCTCATGGGCTGGAAGGATTAATATTGTGAAAATGACCATCCTACCAAAAGTCATATATAGATTCAAAGCAATGCCAATCAAAATCCCCATGACATTTTTCACAAAATTGGAAAAAAACTATCCTAATATTCATATGGATAAACAAAAGTCCTCGGATAGCCAAAACAACTCTGAGCACTAAGGGCAGCGCCAGGGGATTACTATACCAGATTTCAAGCTGTGTTACAGAGCTATAGTCATAAAAATGACATGGTACTAGAAGAGAAATAGACCCATAGACCAATGCAACAAAATTGAAACCCAAATATGAGTAAATACAATTTCAGCCACCCAATATTTGACAAGTGGGCCAAGAACATTAACTGGAGGAAAGAAAGCATGTTCAGCAAATGGTGCTGGCAAAACTGGATCTCCGCTTGAAGATGAATGAAAGAAAACCCCTATCTTTCACCCTCCACAAAAATCAATTCCAAATGGCTCAAACAACTCAATGTAAAGCCTGAAACTCTGAAACTATTAGAAGAAAAGTTTGCAAAAAAACCTACAAGATATAGGCATAAGAAAGGATTTTCAAAACGACATCAATTGCTCAGGTAACAAGGGCAAGAATTAACAAATGGGACCTCATTAAAATAAAAACCTTCTGTACATCAAAGGAGATGTATATCAAAGGAAGCAAACAGAAAACCCACAGAATGGGAGAAAATCTTCACCAGCAACATATCTGACAGAGGTTTAATAACCAGAATTTATAAAAAACTCAAAAAACAGAGCACCAAGACAGAAGCAACCCAATTAAAAGGTTGGAGCTGAACAGAGAGTTCTCAAAAGAAGAAGTAAAGATGGTCATGAAACATTTTAAAAGCTGTTAAACTTCACTAATAATTAGGGAAATGCAAATTAAACCCACTTTAAGATTTCACCTTACCCCAGTCAGACTGGCTAAGATCAAGAAAACAAATGATACCAAATGTTGGAGAGGATGTGGGAAAAGAGGAACAGTCATCCACTGCTGGTGGGGCTGCAAAGTGGTTCAACACCTATGGAAAGCAGTGCGAAGAACTCTTAAAAAACTACAAATGAACCTACCATTTGACCCAGTTACACCACTCCTTGGCATATACCCAAAGAACTCATCCTATTGCAGAGACACTTGTATATCAATGTTTGCTGCTGCTCTTTCACAATAGCTAAAAGATGAAATCAACCTAAGTGTCTCTCAGTTGATGAGTGGATAATGAAAATGTGGTTCATTTATACGATGGAGTTTTACTCAGCAGTAAAGAAAGATGAAATCATGAAATTTGCAGGTAAATGGTTGGAACTAGA